TCTATCTATCTATCTATCTATATATCTATCGTTTAACATTCTATTGTTTAACATTCTATCTATCTATCTATCTATCTATCTATCTATCTATCTATCTATGTATCGTTTAACATTCTATTGTTTAACATTCTATCTATCTATCTATCTATCTATCTATCTATCGTTTAACATTCTATCTATCTATCGTTTAACATTCTATTGTTAAACATTCTATCTATCTATCTAAATTTATCAGATTTGTCAGGTTTGCAGCAGGACTTTTGACTAACACAACTCATCCTCTCTTTTGATTGAGAAACTACTTTCGCAACTGTCTATTTTTTTTCTTAGAGTTACAGCTTTTATCCGTAATGTACTGTTTGCAGAGCGCAGTGGGCGTTTGCTCACATGGACTCCTGACTGGGTGATCTGGTACAAATCTGGACAACAACTTATTAACATCCCCACACATCCCCAAAACTGATAATGTCTCCAGCATTTAAAACAGCACGTTGCTGAATGTTTCCATTTGCAAGAGGGTCACATTATGGTTATTATCTGCTCAATACCCAAATGTATATATATATATATATATATAGCAGTAATATAGGAAATAAATATAGTATATATGTACTTTTTGTTGTGACTTCATGTGACATCAGTATTGTAAAGACTCCAGATGCTTCACCAGGAGCAATTAAAGTGTAATTAGAGCTAGAATAATCATGAAGTGAATCTTTAAATAAGGTATAATATGTGGCTTGTAATTAATGAGTGTATACACAATCAGGCATCTCTAATCAGCAGCAACAGTTATAAACCCAAAATAAAAACAAGGTTTCAGGACTAGCAATCTTAGATTTGTTAATCAGCATCCCTCGTCAGCTTATGCTTCATTAAACAGCAATGTGCTGAACTTCAGCAGGGTGCTCTCACACAGTGATGGGAATGCATGGGAATGCCAAGGAACGCCAAGTCCAGACAGAAGTCAATTTGGCTAAAAGTTTACCAATGAGGGCTGAACAGCAGCCAACATGAAGTACTTCAGGACTACTGGGAGCTTTTTCAAAACCACTAACCCTAAATATTAAACTTTGGCATGTATCTTACACCCCAAAGTCTGTGCTACAGACACATTGAAGGATGGATCCGAGCCATATCTAGAAACCAGAACATCACAGCAACCACAAAGCAACACCACCCATCCAATCAGAAAACATGCAATACACAAAGTGCAGGTTTCTCTGAAGCAGCCGGAGCTGAAGTGTTTTGCTCAAGTGGATAGTGGAGAAGAAAAACACAGCAAGTCTTCAGATAATGAGGCACTCCTACTGGGGTTTGAACCTGCTACCTTTAAATTGTCAGAACTAATCATTATCCACTAAACTCTTAAAAATAAAGGTTTCAAAATGGGGTTTGGATTCCATAGAACCATTTTGGCTTCCTAGAGAACCTTTCAGTTAACAGTTCTAAAAATAACCACTGTTTTTTCATAGTGTAAAGAGTATTTTAAAAATCTAAATTCTAAAGAACATTTTTTGGAATGGATATTTGGAAGTTAAATTTTCCTCATCAATGACAATAAAAAACCTTATTTTTAAGAGTGATGCCACATTTGTTAAAAATACAACACACAAAAAAATAAGTCATTTGAATTGGTCATCTGTGCATGTTCTTATATGAAAAATTATATTTTCATAAAACTGTAATGCAACTTCAACTATGAAAAGACTGCTTAAAAATATAGAAAAGCAGCTGATGGTAGCCATTGACTTACATATTATGGAAAAAAATACTATGGAAGTCAATGGCTACCGTCAGCTATTTGGTATTCAAAATATCTTCTTTTGTGTTTAGCTGAAAGAAATTCATACAGGTTGGGGGTGGTCTGTGTCCTGGACTGGAACTATATACAGTATTTTATAGAAACATGTAACTATACCATCCATATCACAACACTGTCAGTGAAGAGACCTGAATCTCTAGCAGACTCCAACAGGATGATTTACAGTGCATCCGGAAATTATTCACAACGCTTCACTTTTTCCACATTTTGTTATGTTACAGACTTATTCCAAAATGGATTAAATTCATTATTTTCCTCAAAATTCTAAAAACAATACCCCATAATGACAACGTGAAAAAAGTTTGTTTAAAATCTTTGCAAATTTATTACAAATAAAAAATGAAAAAAATCACATGTACATAAGTATTCCTTTTGCCATGACACTCAAAATTGAGCTCAGGTGCACCCTGTTTCCACTGAACATCCTTGGGATGTTTCTACAACTTGACTGGAGTCCACCTGTGGTAAATTCAGTTGATTGGACATAATTTGTAAAGGCACACACCAGTCTATATAAGGTCCCACAGTTAACAGTGCATGTCAGAGCACAAACCAAGCCATGAAGTCCAAGGAATTGTCTGTAAACCTCCAAGACAGGATTGTATCGAGGCACAGATCTGGGGAAGGGTACAGAAAAATTTCTGCAGCATTGAAGGTTCATAGAAGCATGTAGTCTCTGATAACCTTAATGGACTCAGAGACTCAGAGCTGGCCTCCTGGCCAAACTGAGCAATTGATGGAGAAGGGCCTTGTCTAGACTGGTGACCAAGAACCCGATGGTCACTCTAGCTGAGCTCCATGATCATATATGCAGATGGGAGAAACCTAGAGAAGGACAAACATCACTGCAACACTCCACCGATCTGGGCTTTATGGCGGTGTGGCCAAACTCAATCTTCTCCTCAGTGAAGACACATGAAAACACACTTGGAATTTGCAAAACAGCACCTAAAGGACCTTCAGACTCTGAGAAATAAGATTCTCTGGTCTGATGAACCTCAATTCCAAGCATAATGTTTGAAGGAAACCAGGCACTGCTCATCACCTGCAGAGTAGCATCCCAAAAGTAAAGTGTGCTGGTAGCAGCCTCATGCTGTGGGGCTGTTTTTCAGCAGCAGGGACTGAGGGACTCGTCAGAGTAGAAGAAAAGCTCAATGCACCAAAATATTGAGATAACCTTAATGAAAACCTAGTCCAGAACATTCAGAACCTCAGACTGGACAGAAGGTTCACCTTCCAACAGGACAATGACCCTAAGCACACAGCAAGAGTCAATTATAGACAACTCTGTGAATGTCCTTGAGTGGCCCAGCCAGAGCATGAGCTTGAACCCAATCAAATAATTCTGGAGAAACCTGAAAATGTGTGTCTGCCCCCATCCAACCTGACAGAGCTTGAGAGGTGAAGAAGTGAGGAGAAGAATGGCAGATAACTGCCAAATGATGATGATCAAAGCTTGTCGCATCAAACCCAAGATTTGAGCCTGTAATTGGTGCCAAAGGTGCTTCAACAAAGTATTGAGCAAAGGCTCTGAATACTTATGCACATGTGATTTTTTTGTTTGTTTTTTCGTTTTTTAAATTTGCAAAGATTTCAAACGAACTTCTTTCACGTTGTAATTATGGGGTATTGTTTGAAGAATTTTGAGGAAAATAATTAATTTAATCCATTTTAAAATAAGGCTGTAACATAACAAAATGTGGAAAACGTGAAGCGCTGTGAATACTTTCCTGATCGATGCACTGTACAATAGGAACAAATGGAAGCCACTGGAAAACTAAGCGATATGATTCGTGGAAAGCTGGAGTATTTCTAGGTCGGTTCAGAAAGTTTGAGTAAATACACCTCTGAAAAAAAAAATAAAAACGACAAACCTAAACACAGAAAGAACACTTAAATTCCTCCTAATTTTCCTAGGCCTTCACAAAAGTCTAATCAGATCCAGATTTGATTTTGATTTGGAACACTGCTCAATTTGAGACTCTCTCTGTAGTATATAGTAGAGCTGGGCATCCATACAGTGGATATGAACTATTAGAACAAGCCTTGTCGCATCATCAGTGACGATTCTAAGAAATCCAAACTGAGAGAAAACAAAAAAAGTTGCAACAACAAGATAGTCTACACCAAGTAGAACCAAACAGAACCGGTATTAGACACTTTCTTAAAGAGTTAACCTCTTGAAAACAAACTCACATGTACACAGACCATGGTCGTGTGGGTCCACAGATCAGACCAATGCTCTCAAAAAGACTCTCTTCACACTGGAAAACAAACCCGGACTGATAAACCTGCTCCAAGTAAATGCCATGTGAGAAAGCTCCAGAATGTCATCAATTATCTGTTTAGATCTGGTGGGATACAGTGTTCCAATATAAAAAACACAAGGGAAGTGTGTGTGAATTTGTAAGTTCATAACAAGTCAAGACAAGCATTTTGTTACAGAACCCAAGAGAAACCGAGCTGACTAAACTATAGATGCAGGGAACATCAGGAACCAAACCTGTCAAATTATTTTGTGTGCAAAAGGAAATCAATGAATTTATGAACCTTTATGGAATATAAACACACACACAAATACAATTTTGTAGTTATTAAAAATTAAAACTCCTTCAAGTTATGGCTCAATATTTTTTTCATTTGAGGCCAGGAAGTCATAAAATACCCAAAGGCACAAATTTGAGAAATTTTGAGCTAGAATGAATCATAAAAGCAAACACAAACACACACATAGCAAACACTAGCATCTCAGTGGCATTGCTTCAGCGCTCTGACTCAGCTCTGAATCACGCAGACGGATATTGAAAGCTTTGATTCAGCAGGGGTCATGATGATGGCAGAGATGAGAGACCAAAAACAACTAGAGGGACTCAGGCTAAAGGCTGTTGTGTGCCGCTGCCACGACCCCTCTCAACCAAGCATGAATGTTATTGTACCAGCGCTGAAGGGCAAACAGCACTGACACACTCCCACTCGACGCCAATACAGCGGGAACACGATCCTCTTTCTCTGAAAGACACCAGACGAGACGACGGGAGACCGCAGGCCAAAGTCCAACACTACTGCTCTGACTGTGAGACTGAGTAACTTAACAATCTTAAATAAAAAACTGAGTGTCACATTTCAGCCCAGAATCATACCATGAAATAATTCATTATATTTAAAACTATTAAGAACTATTTAGTTTATTATTATTGTTATTATTGTTATTGTTATTATTATTTTCATGACAATTATTAAGCACACTCAAGTAATTTAATTGACATTAATAAGAATTTATGTACTCAATAGTATAATAGTAAAATATGTTGATTTTCTTGCAAAATACAAATGCAAAACAATGCTAAATAACTGCAAAATATTAAATGAAAAATGTGTTTTAAAAATGGATTATGAATAGCACATTACTTCTTCATGACAACATGTCTCTGACAACAATTCTGGTTATTAAGTCCAATTAAATATATATTGGGGCAAAAAAGACCACAAAATGCTTACATTTTGAATTTTTCTAATTCTATAAAAAAAAGAAAAAAGAAGCTAAACAATTTCAGGCAAATAAGAAAAATCTTAATATGTCTACTCAAAAATGTATTTGTTTAAAATTTCATTTTTAATCCTAGATTTTCCCCATATTTTGAATCCTCCTGTATAGCAGACACTAAATGCATTTTGATGTCAGCTCACATATAAGCAGGAGTGTATATGTGGGATTATATTTTTATTTTAAATTTTATTTTAAAGTACACTGCTGACCTCTAGTGCTTGACATGTTTATTGCATCAACTTAACTCTTAGTTTGAGCTCCTGGATTTCACATCATTAAACCTTTGAATAATACATTTCTTTCACATATTTTCCAGTCTCATCACAGAGATCTTTTCTGATCTAGGCCTGAGAAAGGTATCTCCAGATATACCCTCTACCAATCCCAGGTTGGTACATTAGATTGTTGCTGCAATTATGAAAAACTAGGTCACATCATCTGAAAAATTATTTTTTTTTTTTTTAAAGATGTATCTGTACATAAATTGTGTACAATATAGATATGTCCCAGTTTATACAGTGACAAGAACAAGTAAACCATTGCAAAGAAAGAAAGAAAGAAAAAGTCATTTTAGCGGTAAAAGACTGTAAATTTCTAAGGTAAAACCTGTTAATTGGTTAATGGTAAATTCCCTTTTATATGATAAAAAAGTTGTAATTCTAAAGCGACGGTTTTAGATAGCTGTAATTGTAAAATATTATTAAATCAGTTATTAAATCAGAGTGTGCCATTTTTTACTGTCAATTTCAGATTTTTTTTTATATATATACTTTTTATTTTTTTGCACAGTGTGAGTTGATTTTTCTGAAAACTGTTTTAGGGCATTTCAGACCAACAACATTTGGAGCAAACAGAGTCAAGCCCAAAGAGTTTATGATTAAGCTTTGCAAGAGACTGGAAAATAGTATTAGCATCAGAAGAATCTTCAGACAGACCAGAAACTGCTTCAAACAAGAGTGAGTGATTGAGACTGCTGGTCCTCCATCACGGCTGTCCTCCTGCTCGTCTCAAACACAGAGGCAGCTGGATCCAGTGAAGGCACAAGGTCAAAGGTTATTCCTCCAGACACCTTCAGCCACCACCAAACCTCTCTCCTTAAAGCAATTCTCCTCGATTCCTCCCTGCTCACCATCCACTCCCTCAGTAAGTGCAGGTTCCACAGCACGAAGTGGCAGGATGATAAACAAAGCAGACTGACAAACTCCCAGAATGCAAAGTGTTGCCACTAGGGAGCGCCCGCCTCTCTCCTTAAAGCAATTCTCCTCGATTCCTCCCTGCTCACCATCCACTCCCTCAGTAAGTGCAGGTTCCACAGCACGAAGTGGCAGGATGGTAAACAAAGCAGACTGACAAACTCCCAGAATGCAAAGTGTTGCCACTAGGGGGCGCCCACTGAAATCAAGAATGCTGTAGATGTAGGGTTGACCAAACAAGTTGGTGCCACTCATCAGCCAATAAACAACAGCAAATATGACATAAAGGGCTCCGGCCAGCACAGCGTAGAAGTGGGTGAGATGAACTGGTGTGGAGGACAACTACAGATCCACAGCTGTCTGGATGCTGTTGATAACATGGATGTTGAAGGCTGTGAAGGAGTGCTGGTCAAAGGGGTGAATTATGGTCCAGTATAGAAAGGAGACGGTTAATGAACAACAGCCCATCACAGAATGCAGGAACCACTGCAGACAGAGAGCAGCGGGGAGAGAAAGGAGGCTCTCACATTCACTACTGACGCCTAGTGGAAGAAAGGACTGCATGAAACACATGTATAGGCCTCTTTTTTTAATTCCTAATTTTTATCAGTGATAGAAATTAATACTTTTAGCAAGAATGCATTACACTGATCAAGTGACATTAAAACATTTACAATGTTACAAAAGATTTCTATTTCAAATAAATGCTGTTCTATCTACTCATCAAAGAATTCTTAATTTATCACAGTTTCTTCAAAAATATGAAGCAGCACAACTGTTTTCAACATTGATCGTAATAAGAAATGTTTCTTGAGCAGCAAATTATTATGATTTCTGAAAGATCACGTGACACTGAAGACTGGAGTAATGATGCTGAAAATTCAGCTTTGATCACAGAAATAAATTAGATTTTACAAAATATTAAAAGAGAAAACAGTAATAATATTGTAATAATATTTCACAATATTACTGTATTGTTGATCAAATAAATGCAGCCTTGGTGAAAAAAAGAACATTTCAATGGCATATGTATAAACTGCAGCAAAAGATTTTACTGCAACATTGGTTAAATGAAAGTCAGAATGGTGCTGTTCCTTTTGAGAAAAGCTCCTGCAGCACATGAGAACAGATAATGCTTGATGTTTTATATTGCAATCTAATCAGGGTTCAACAATAAGGACTTTTTCTGTTGAGCTCAAATTCTGTTCATATAACTAACTAAACAAACAAACAAACAAACACATACATGCATACAGTAATGCATTTATATTTGAAATACAACTATAACTCATTAAATTCATAAATATATTTGCTGGAAAACACAATGCAAAACAATACTGGCTTCTGTGAAAACTCAGTTTGTACTTCTCTTAAGACTTTTTTTTTTTTTTTTTGCTCTTATAATGCAATAGCATAAGTATGACTTAAATGTTTTTTAAGCATGACTTAGAATAATTTATAAAGTCACTGTGTGGGATCTGTGTGGCAATCAGTAGTATCTGTGATCAGCAACACACTGCACAACAATTTTACCTCTTTTCATTCTGTGAGAGCAGCAGCTGATTTCCAGGAAAGCACAGGCCAGATTACAAAGAGAAACCAGACAGTAGATAGCCATAAGACAGTATGAGATATGGCTGATAAAAATGAGGAATTTAGGTGTGTTGAAGAGAAGAGCGGTGTAGATAAACCAGCTGAAGGTGTAGAGCAGCATAAAACATCTGTACAGAAGCCACAACAATGGAGGAATATCCCACTGCAAACAAACAAACAAACAAAAAAAGTTATTTCAATTTCATGTTTCAATATGATGGATTTTGGAAACTGACGTTTACATTTTAACCTATATTTTACACATATGCATTTATTTACACGTAAATTATAACAACAAAACTGGTGGCATTGCTGACATAACTACTGTAGTCCAGTGGATCTGTTTTTCTTACAACCAAGAAGATCTGGTTTTCTCTTGGTATCAGACCAAGTAGTTTAGAGCTGTTAGACCAGCAAAAACCTTTGGCCTGATTCTTCCAGCAGTGTTTCCATCATGAATATGTGTGTTTGAACTGACTTTGTCTTCATCCACACAAATCATTGAGTCAGTGCATGAAGTTTAGTGACTCAAACTCACCTGTGGCTGAAGCAGAAGCTCTGGTTTAGAGGTGAGAAAGTGGATTTTGTGAACGTTGAACTCCTCCTCCCAGCTCCAACTAGCACCCATGTAGGTCACCAATAACCACTCCACCTGACTGTCAAAAACATACCACAGAATTAGTTAAACGCTTGTGATGCCATGCATCTGCATACTCGGAAGCCAGTTCACATTTGTGTAGACTGCAAAAACATGCACATTCAGTATGCATTAAATCATATTTGAAAAGGCTTTAATTTCCAGTATTTCTGGTTTAAAGTAATGCTGTAATTATCAAAAAATTCAGACCTGCCCTGTAAAGTACTATTACAATGACCGGATTAATGAATAATGATGTCTTTCACGAACTTTTGCAAGAATGCATCCACTGTGAACTGCTATGAATGTGCTGCAGACACCAGAAACATGCATAAATCTAAGGCTCCAAATGATGGTGTTCTCCTACACCTTGATATTCTGATCCATCAGATGTGACCGTGATCTCATGTTCACGTGTCCGTAGCAGGACAGACACTGCTCTGCTTGTCTGGGAAACATCTAATGAAATAACTGGAGCTGCAAACCGTAATGGTGAACATGTGAATCTCTCATGCATACCAACAACATTAACACTGAGATGAGTCTGAGATGTGGCTAAATGTCAAAATGCCCTTACTAAAAGTACTGTGGAAGTACCATGGTACAGGCACAAATGGTGAGCATTAACACATGATCATGCAATTTTGGTCAGTTCACCCTTAGAATTATTTTGTATTATTTATTTATTTTATTGCTTTCTCCATTATCACGTTTTTTTTTTTAACAGTGTCACTTATTTTACATCTGCTGCCAACTTATGTCTAAATATATTTACTTTGCTAGAGAGTTTTGGTCTGATGTGAATAGATTTAAAGTGGGGTCACCAATTTTCAGTATTAGAGGTCACTGCAATCTGTCACCCCTCTGCATTTGATAGGCTATAACACTGGCATTAATGTTACCCAGATTCACTTTGCTCTGATATGAACAGCTGCAGATATAGGCTACCGCAGGGTCACCAAATCTGACTAAATCTGTTACTCCACTGTATTTCACACAAAATGGCTTTAATGTTACCTATATTTATTGTTTCATTTACCCGGATGAGCGGACTGAAGCTCGATGAGTTACGGTGGATGGCAGATTGACCAATAAGACTCAAGTAGGCTATTCTAAATACGTGTAATTAAAAATAAAATAAGTTTACACACCAGCCTGTCATAAATATGTTCCAGTCAAGCTCAGGCAATAACTAAAACAAATAAATTGTAATTTCATTGAACTTGTGATTATTTGCATAATTACATGATTCACTGGTTTTCTGACAGGACTGAAGAGTTTAGGTTTTCATTGGAAACTGACGGACTGACAGTTTACAATTTATCAAACGGAATGGAACGTTTGGAGTGAAACAAACCAACTAACAGCACAAAATATCAGAATTCACCAAATACTTATCGTTGTGCTGTTATTTTCCCGCCAAAATGGTGTAACTTCCTGTAAAAAAAGATGTCATTGGGAACTGGCGTTTGTTATTTAAAGGGATTTTACAAAAAAAAAAAGTAGACAGGAAAAAACTATAAATTAATTACCCATTACAATGGCACATCAATTAACGCTTTGTTTGACCTTTCAATTATAGGAAGGAAAGATTTAAATAAATAAATAGCATTTCATATTAAATTGTGTAAGGGTGTGAAATATTTGGCTTTGAGGGCTAAAATATCTATGGCTAAAATGACGAAAGTCGCGCTCGCCGCGTAACCATCGCAACAGTATGACGCTCGAGCTCTCTCTGTCATATATATATATATATATATATATATATACCACAGACTGTATAAAAACAGGTAGGCTATATACATATCTATGCTATCCGTTCCGTTCGGTAACCTCGAACACGCGCTCCGAAAATAATTGTCAAAATGGCCTTTAAAAAGTTTACCCGATGACAATCAATGAATAATTCACGATTAGCAAGTTTTTTTTTCATTATATAAAAAAAAAGAAAACGGATAGAATAGAAAAAGAATAGAGCAAGCTGTTAGAGGCCTTTTTTTCTTTTGTTAATTGTATAATAAATAAAAAGAAAACAGATAGAACACAAAAAGATTAGAGAAGCTATAGTTAGTTTTTTAAAGAATAGAATTAGAATAAAGAGTGCTACAGTTCGAGGGTCAAATAAAGATGGAAGAGATGTGTTTTTAGCCCATTCTTGAAGATGGCTATAGGACTCAGCTGCTAAAGTAGTGTTGCATGGTTTTTGCCTCTCAAGGTTCTCGCTTCTTGTAAATCTCCTGCGTGTTTGAACCTGAACGTGTTGTGCTTGTTTTGCTGGTTTCATTCATTCATCGCCTGTGGCGTAGTTTTTAATCCATGGAATGCTAGAGCAACACCTTATTCACAGGAATCGACTTTTTCTTTTACTCTTTCAAGAGAACAATAAACTTGTTTGTAATGTCACGGCTGACAGACAAGGTTGAGAAACTTGACGTGTCAGTGACACCAACACATTTTCACCAAAGCAAACAAGAACGTTATTTTTCCTTTACACAGGAAAATAAAACCAACAGTATCCCATATGTTCATACACCATGATGGCTTACAGGCCTATAAACAGTATACAGTACATTTTCATGTCCCCATCCTACATATCAACCTTAATATACTGGATTTTTTAAAATCACAGTATTACACAATGGAGTGAATTAGAAAATTGCAGTACTTTGTTGACAGAAGGTTGCTGTTTTTGGGTTAACACCTATGTGTACTACGTTAAGCTAACTGAGACTCGTTATAGCACTTGCATATCATTGCTCTTTTGTTGATTTTGATTGCTTCCATTGTCCTCATTTGTAAGTCGCTTTGGATAAAAGTCTGCTAAATGACAATGTAAATGCTACATTACAAAACAGTCATAGTTACTACATTCACAATACAGCAGAAACTTATTAAATTATTTACTTAACATTATTAAAGGTAAGTCAGATCTGTTTTAATGTTTAAGTGGATTCACAGATGCATAACACCTGCAGGTCGCTTTGGATAAAGAATCTGCTAAATTAATATTGTAGATGGCACATGTCAGTTCTTCATATTGAAAGCAAAAAATGCTCAACTTTTGGTAGCATGACAGAGCATTAATTTAGCAAACACCATCATGTCTTTAGCAGAGGTGTTGTGGTAAAGTCAAAGAGGAAAGCCTTTTCTAGAGAATTTTTTAGCTTTCAGCATAATAGCATTTCAGATTCGACTTGTAAATTAACTTCTCAAAAACAAACGATCCAATCAGCATGAAGTCCTATGTAAGAAAATTACACCCAAAAGATGAAAGCATTCAAATTCAGTTCAGTCTCATTTATTTTCTTATGTACAAAAATGAGATCATATATAAACTTTACACAGTTCAAGATCTATTTTGGAAAAAGCAAATAATCAAAATCAAAAACACGTTCTTCACATTTCTCGAGGACTTTGTACATATGTACACATTCTTCTAGTCACATGTCTCATGTTCATTAACTGAGATGAAGTACAAAATAAAATACATGACGGACGATAAAAGCCTCAATCCAGACTTCTTTTTTTTTAGTCAAACTGACATGACAGATCTTCATTTATTCGATTTCTGTAAAGCGTGCAAACATGGCTTTCCGGACGGCATCTTTGTAAGTATCTGAAGCAGAGAGGCTGTAGTTGCTTCCTTTAGTTCCCAGACCAGCTCCCCTCATTCTCAACTGAGCCTGCAGACAAGATGACAAAGATTCATGTCTTAGTTATGTCAAGTATCTGCACATAAAGCTACTTAAGTGTGACCAGGATTCAAAATTAACCTTCTGCCACACCTGTATACAATTATTGAGTTGCAAAAACAACAACAAAATATTTGCAGCCTAGTTTAGTTTTCCCACTGCATGTGGAACAGCACAGGTCATCACAACGCTCACAACATCATTTATTGTGAAATAACACCTCTCAAGAATATTAAAATGCATCTTGATTTTATTTAGCATATTCAACATGGAACGCAGGGTTGTTATATTTAACAAACTAAAACCATACAAAAAATGTTTTTTTCTTAAAAAAAAAATGTTAATGTTATTTAAATAAATAAATAAATAAATAAATATATATATAATATAATATTATATAATATAATATATTATATATATATATATATATATATTAAAACTCCAACATTTTGTCAGCTACATTTTATTTTGTTTTAATTTAAACAATGTACTAAAACAAGTAAAATAAAGAATAAAAATTAAGCAGATGAAAAAAAAAAGACAAACAACAAAATTACAAAAATCTGTGAAATTAAAATGAAAATAGAAAATATACATTAAAGTTATAATATTAACTCAATTATACTAAAATACCACTGCTCAAAAGATGGATAAATCTAGGACACTTTGGATTTACAACTTCAAAATTTGTGCAAAAATAATGCAAAGAAAAAAAAAATTTTTTTTTTATGCTTGCCAAATTGTAAATGTTTGTCCATGCACGTATATTTTTCATATACTAACAGACTCCACCTACACTGACAAATACATTTATGCTAATTGTACAAGACACATTTAACACATTTGTGTTATGTAAACCGAATACTAAGTATACCATGGTAACATAACATGACGGGTAGAACGAGTCGTACCTCAATAGGTGTTGTGATGCCCTGCTGGTTTCGACCCAGACCTTTGCCTTCCTTCCAGCCCATGGCCTGCAGCATCTTATTACCGATATTATCGCTGTTCAGACCATCCTTAGTGGGCTGTTCATAATTTCTGTAAAACCGCATGGCGCAAAATGCACTGTTATATTGCTATTGCAACTGTATTGTATTAGTAAACATCTCTACTGAAATAAACTTGTGAGTCAAAAACACATGAACTTACACTACAGGTGTTGGCTGGGTAAACTTCCTTTTCTTGGGCACAGGGGGTTCAGGGATACCGTATTTCTCTCTTCTCTCAGCAGCCCTGTCTCTGTACTTCATCTGTTCAGTACAAGGTAAAAGGGACAGGAGTGTCAGTTACATCCAGAAAATGCTCTTTAAAAGGAGGAAGTGTGGTTGAATTTATAATGAGGGCTCACACCTCTGTCTCTTTCCTCTCCAACTCCTCCAGTTCTGCTTCGCTCAGTTTGGATCTCCTGAGAACCTCCAAGTTTTGCTGGAATGCACGGATGTATATATTTAAATATGTATACTAAATAAATTATCTTTCCACACTTTTGACCTGTAGAGTGTTAAGATTTTTAATGTTTCTGAAAGAAGTCTCGTATGCTTACAAAAATATGAAGCTGTTAATATTAATTAGAAGAAATATTTGAGCAGCAAATCGGCATATTAGAATGATTTCTGAAGAATCATGTGACACTGAAGACTGGAGGAATGATGCTGAAAATTCAGCTTTGCATCACAGGAATAAATTACATTTTAAAGCATATTCACACAGAAAACAATTCTTTTAAATTGTAATAATATTTCACAATATTACAGTTTTTTTTAACTGTATTTTTGATCAACTAAATACAGCCATAGTGAGCAGGAGACACTTCTTTCAGAAGATTATCTTATTTTATTCAGAAGATAAAAAAAGATTATAATCTTTCAGATTATTACAACCTTTTTATTTGTTAAAGAAAAAACCCCCATGGAATGAAATGGATTTTAAAATGTTTAAAAGTGATGGCAATGATTGTAAATCAACTCCAACAGCTCAGGCTCATTACCTTGTGCAGGTCTGAGAGCTGTTGATGGCGGAACAGAGCTTCTTTATTGGGGAACTGCCTTCGGCACAGCAGACAGGCCATCTTTTTCCAGTCGGTCAGCTTGTCCTCGTGGTCATCACCCTCCGTGACCTCCTCAGGCTCACTGTCGCCGCTGTACGCTGCCACCAGCCCCACCTGCAGCGCAGCACAGCGAGTTAAACTAATCATCTAACACAACTTCATAACTTGACATGATTTGTAATGGTGCACAGTGCATCCGGGACCTTTGATGAGGAGCTCTCTTCTTCTGTGGCCTCGGTTATAAGCCTCTCCAGTGCTCCTGTCTGCTCACATGCAAAGAAAACACACAAACCATGCATTATGACAAAACCATCACCACCATCATTAAAAGAGATCATCATCTAAGTGTCTTCAGCTTTCATACCTTCTTCTCAAAGAGAGTGAAACCAGCATCTGCTGCCGCCGCCTCCTTCCTCTCCTCCTGACTGATGGGCTGGAAGCAGCTCTTGAAGTTTTCTTTCTGTTTGTTCAGACTCTTGGCCCAGCGCTCCATGTCCTTCGCAATCTGACACACAAAGATATTTTTTAGTACCAGTGGAGGATTGAAATAGCTAGATTTTTGACATTTTCTGAACATGTGAGTGCTGCCAGCATGCTGCTAGGATTTTGTAAATGGCTGCTAGGACATTGCTAAAAGGTTGCTAGGGTGTTCTAATTCTATACAATTGTCTGATTCCTAGATTTAAATCACACAGAGTCTATCTGGGCTGCACAATATTGAAAATATATTTTATACTGCAAAATCAAAATTACAATACAAATATTAACATTGTTCATTTCTTAATGTTTCAAATTTTAAATCATCCAGCTTTTATTTTTGGTGCTCTGAGAAGCCGAAACACTGAATCATGAATTGCACACAGGGGTGGGCGATGTGGCAAAAATATCAGATCATGATTTTTTACAGGCATATCACGATTAATGATTTTAATCGCTATTTTTTGTCATGTTGGTTTTACTAATTTGCAAGCTGTCTGAGCAGAACAGCCAAACTAATTTCCCCATTTTAAAAACAAAGCCTTACAAGGTAACAAAATATTAAATAAAATAGAATGGCAGATATTTAGGCCAAAGATAAAAAGCTTTGTCATCATTTTATCTGTTATAAAAAAAAATAAACAAAATAAAAACACATAATATACAAATAAAACAAACAGTGCTTTATTTTTCAGGTACAGTAGGTGTATTTAGCATAGCATTCAAGAAATTGAATTAACAAATATAAAAATAAAACTATATACATCAATTATACATTGATTCTTATTAAACCAACTGTATTAATGTTCTTCAGTCAAGAGCAGTTAATGATTTTTCTCTTGGAGGTTTTTTGTTTTATTAACATTAAAGGGATAGTTCACTCAAATTAGTTCATTTACTCACTCAAGCTGTTTTAAACCTGAATGAGCTTTTCTTCTCTTCTGTTGAACATATTTTGAAGAATGCGAGTAAGCAAACAGTTGCTGGTCCCCACTGACTTCCATAGTAATTTTTTCCCCTACTATCAAAGTCAATGGGGACCAGCTACTTTTTGGTTACCCACATTCTTTAAAATAACCTCTTGTGTTCTGCACAAGATAGAAATTAATACAGGTTTGGGACAACATGTGAGGGAGTAAATAATAACAACTTACATTTTTGGGTGAACTATCCCTTTAATGACAAGCGGCAGCATGTTTACTACTGTTCCTTTAAGACCTGCACGCATCTAATATACAGGCATGCATCCATTTTTCTCTCAACCGTTTACTTTCACTTTAGACATAACCAACTGTGTTTATATGTAAACCTTGTGTG